TAGGAACATGAATGCCTAAAACAACAGTGTGTAGCTCCGTGTTGTGTAGCTGTCTCTGGTTATTATGTACAAGCAGATCCATTGCCAAGCGCTTAATTATGAGTGCCAAAAGTTAGACCAAATTCTCTCAACAAATAGGAGAATAATATTTCACCTCATCAATATTCAGTCCAATGAATGAATGTTTAATGTTTAAAATGTGCTTTATATTTCTCATATTGCGTGTGTTACAGCACCTCTTTTTACCCTCTGATTGTAACTGGAGCCCAGTACGTCGTAAAGAAAGAAGCTTCGGGGAACTTTGGGATTTTAGACTTTGCCGACCATTTGTATGCAAAAAAAAACTTAAAAGCACACTACATGAAAGCAAAAAAGAAAGTTTGATGTGATGATCTATAGATTTATTACTACATTGTTGCATTTTCTCTGAGTACCAAACGTTTACATTAATTTCCATTGTGGTCTTCATTAGAATGGAGTAATACATTTCTGTTCAAAAAGAGGCCCTGAAATGTATGTACTGTAATTCAAGCTTGAAAAGATCACCACTCAGCACACAAATTCATATTCATACTGACATTAAATATTTATCACGTTCAAGGTTGGAAAAGTATTTGGAGACTAATGCATCAAAATCTACAAACTTGCAGCCTTTTTTATTTCCTCCTGACATTTGCAATAAAAATACTCCCGTCTTGGCATTTGGAAATGTGAATCTTAACTCCCCTCTTGGATCTACAGCGGGAGAATCGCTCAGCAAATTCCTTTCTATCCTCTCTTGGCTAAGGCAGCCTGACTCTGAGCGTCTGAGCTCCCGAAGCAGCCAACACAGCATGCACGCCCAGTTCACTGCTGACACTTCTGGAAACAACATTCACTGCTTCTGCCTGAGAAGACTAGAAAAGTTTAATGAGTAACAAACTCAATTTAAATGAAATTTCCCTGGTTGGCTTTAGCAAAAATATTAGTAGCATGACAAGTTTTTTTATCATTAGCCACCATTACATTCAAATTGATTACCACGAAAAAAAGCTATAGATCAGGGGTGTCCAAACTACGGTCCAGGGGCCAAATGCGGCCTGCGGACCATTTTGAATCGGCCCCCACTCAGCAAATTCAAAAAGTATAATGACTTAAGTATAATAAACTTCTGCTTGTCTCATATTGTACTTAAATATAAGTACAATAACATTGTAAATATATATGTTAAAATATATTACACAGTATTCATGAGTTAATAAGCCCAATTTTCAAATAAATTCAGTCAATTCAAGTTGAAAACATGTTCTAACAAATCTAAGTTGATAAGAAAAAAGCCCAATAAGAAACAACCTTGAAATCTACCCTTCACATTTCCTCTCATTATAAGCTGTATGTATATCTGAAGCTTCTGTTTTAAGGAGTGAGCTGCCAACACAATAAAGTAAACCATCTGGAGAGCTGTGAGTTGTTTTTTTCTTAAAGCATTTTCCAGTATCAAGAATAATGTACCTACATTGGATTGACTTTTCCAATTTATAACAGAACTTATGAGGCAACATACCTCTAGTGAGTGGCCCAGCCCTTCGTATATTTTTCTGCATGTGGCCCTCTGTGAAAAAAGTTTGACAACCCTGCTATAGATGAACTAAAGTTAGATAGAACTCCAATCATAGAAGCCATATGTTTACTTTTGATCTTANTTATGAGATATTCTTCTTCCGCATTTATTGCGAGTCCAACCAGCTCTGGAGCATTATCGCCGAGATGACATCCACTTACGCGACAATGCGATTTGGGATTTAGTCTTTCTATGCCACATTTTTCATAGTCTTATCAAACAGTACACAAATGCGACTTTTTTTACATGGAAATATTGTTTAGATTGACAAACATCTATGTGTCATTCGTGGCAAATTCAAACGGGATGAAAAGGATAATTTTTATTGACTTCAATGTATAATTTCGCTCGGGTCATGGGGGGGGCAGGGGAGGGCTTGTCATAGGCTGTGTGTACTTGTGTGACCGCCTAGTGGTAAAGCACGTATTGATTGTTTAAAGTGTTATGTAGCAAAAATATTAAGACGTACATATTCATAGGGGGGATTAGAAGGTCAATGATAGAAATATAGAATATAAACAAGAGACATTGTGGTCTATAAACAGTTTAGTCCAGGCGAAAAGTTATGGGTGAAAACGAACTATTTATTTAAACCAGGGGTGGGAAATTTGGTACGGCCTCGGAGGTAATTTATAAACAAGCAAAAAAGATTTTTTAAAAAAAGAATGTTTAGTTTTGGGGCGAGTGCGTTTTTTGGAAGGTCAGGGTCCTTGAACACAACAGAAGCCTAAACTGTCTCCTTATACAGCTAGAGTATTTATAATGGACGTAGTGTCAAATAGGTGAAGTCTGCGAGAAGCCCTTAGTAGGCGGTCGGCACTAAACGGCTCGACAGTGACGTCAGGTTCAATCCAGCCTTCTCCCAGCCTGCTCCAAATAAGGGGCAGAAAGAGGCAAGCGGGGGACCTGCTGCCTCCGAACTGGAAGTAAACAGAGCTAACTCAGGCTGATGAACCTAAGCAACATGAAATGCGCACTCCTAATCGCTACGGCATCAACCACAGTAGTTCCCCTATACTCAGGGTCAAGCCACGGCCTCGGGCCGCATGCGGCTTTAGCCCTCTGCACTGGCTCCCTTGAGCTTATACGAGCATAGGCCCTTAGACAAAAAATAAGAAGGAAATAAAATAAAAGTTATTGTAGGAACTATTTATATTGTTGCCATGGTGGAAAAGTTTCGTATCTTGTATTTTGGAGGTGATACTGTACACATAAATAAAACAAAACGGCTTAAATAGGTCAACCTAAAAATATGCGTCACATCCTGCTACGGTCCCGCGCCAGCGCCTTTTTCCTGCGGGTGAATACCTGACCCCCCGGCTCCGATGAGCGAACTAATGGATAAAATCAAAAGAACAAGTACCGGAGGAACACAGGATTAATTCCCTGTCGCGGACAGAGTTATATGCTTTCACAGCAAACGATGCTGGTTTACCGGTATGTTTGATATGTAGAGAGAAGTTGTCAAACGGTGCTGCGCAGCCTTACGTATCTGAGGAACAACAAGGGAGAGGAAACAGCTGACGATCTTCAGTCATAATTCAATGGGGTATGTAAATTATTTCAGAAAACACTTTTTTGTTAATATCCATGGAATGCTCTTAAACATCCTCGATAATAATGAATATATATTAAACTGCCTTTGACAATAAATAGCATACAAACAATGTATCTCCTGGAAGCCGTAGCGCTGTAAAAAGCACGACCAAGTCATTTTAGCCGGCCCGGCTAAAATAACTGGATGGCTACCTGCCTGTCCAGCCTTCCATCTGTTGCAACAAACTTAATTCCGTGGCCTCATGATGATGACGCGTTTCGTGGTTGTGTTGGAGGGAGGGAACTCTGTGAGAAAGTCTGAAGGAGAGGGATATATTTTTTACCGGTTGTGTATTTTCAAAATTCTAGCGCACTCGAGCTGTTTCTCCATTCTTACCTAACTCTACCTTTAACTCTTTTTAGGGGTGCAAGCTATAATGTTTATTTATTTCAAAGTGGGCCCATTTTAATAATATTTTTGTTTTCCCTTCGAATTGTAGAGGACTCCCCAAATGCTGTGTTTAATTTATTTTAAAGTAGGCCCTGTGTATGATATTTTTAATTCCTCCTTATCAGAATAAAGGAATACCTTTATTAGTCCCACAGAGGGGGAAATTGGCAGCGTTTACAGCCAGGAAAGAGCCACAGACAGCTTAGTCGTTGCATATGCTGAAATGGCGTTTAAAAAAGCTACTAAGTTATAATATAATAACATAAACAATATGCTAAAAAAGTACTAAGTTATAATATATTAAACAAACAATATGCTAAAAAATAAATAAAAGGTTACATAATTTTCAAAAATACAGATCAAAAACAAATCAAATCAATCAAAAATCCTGTAGCAGTCCTTATAGGAGTTACTTTGTTTCTTATTAGAAGGTGTTAACCAGTTTTAATATAACGTAATAAATAGCCTAAGAATGCAAAAAACTGTAGTTTTTTGTCTGATATAAAACAAAAATAAATGCAAACTTTAATAGCTATCAAGCTATGAAAAATGTTTTGCCGGCTCCAGAACAAAAAAAGTTTTTGGGAAAAAGGAGCAAAATGGCTCCTTTGCGCGTCAAAAGGTAGCAGACCCTGCCCTATATAGAACGTTAGCATTCATAATCAAATGAGACAATCTGCAAGAAGAATTAGCTATATTTTTTGTATTTTTAATGCTTGTCATTGGACACGGTTAAGAAAAGAAGTACCCGATACATAGGGCAGAACAATTGTGAGCGATGTTTCAGCCTTAATAAGCCTTGTTCAACAATAATTTAATTTAGCTAATACTCAGCAGGCGAACCGAAGTCTGTGTTTCGCTGCATTCTTGAATCTCCAGTTATATACGACGTGACTCCCATTCCGCCTGGACGCTGAACGGAAGCCGCAGTGGGCTAGCTCCGGACGCGCCGCTGGAGCTAGCCCCTGCGGCTCCGTTAGCTCCGGCGGCCACCACTGGGATATTGGGTCCCCTATTAACATTTGCTCCGTTGTAGCATTATGGGCTCTAAGAGGCATTAGAACTATAAAAGTCTTCCCAAGGCTGAATCATAAACTGAAATTATATTATGTATAAAGGGAAGGCATGTACATGTCCATCAAAGTGACCACGCCCTAATTATCAAAAACTTTAAGACCGCTAATGTATCAGAATAAATGGGTCGTGTTAAAAAACATTCACTCACAGATTCCATAAAATCATGAAGGGTGGAATTCTAACTATATCGATAATAATATTTATTGCATCCCATGGGTAAGAAACATGTTTTTTTCTGCTGTAATGTGTTGGGCATTTTAACATGGGGGTCTTGGAAATTGCTCTTCTGCAGTCAGTCCCCTAGCGGACCCATGTATGAACTGCAGTGTGTTGCACCTTCCGTATTTGGCGCCCGGCTGTTCCCGCAGAGTTTGCCCGCTTGATATACAGTCGTAGGCAGGGGTGGCCAACCCGCGGCTCTCGAGCCGCATGCGGCTCTTTGCCTAGGTTTCATTGCGGCTCTTCAGTTTCATATCGAAATTTTATATTGTGAGTTTGGAGGGGAGAGACACTTACTCCTGGACTAGTGTGTGCACGGTGTACCGGATACTTGAAGGTATACCCGCCGATACCCTGCCGTTAAAGAACGTTTACGAGTTCCTCATTTCATTGGTATCGGATACTTTAAGAATGACGGAGGGAAGTATATCCCGGTGAGAAAGCGCCGTTTAATAGAGGCCGTGTGTGTTTCAGCAACTCTGCTTCCAAATCCCTTCACTGCACGCCGTGGCCTGCAGTCCCTCCCCTCTCAGCACGCTCTAAGGTCCCTCCCCTCTCTCGTGCACGGCACCTAGCTGCCAGAGCATGTGGAGGAAAAGAGAAGCATTGGCTGCAAGTGGGAGCTGCAACTGCCGCTGGGCCTCGCCTTGGTGGACAAAAAGACGCCCAGAAGCGAATGATTGATGCATTTTAGCGCTATATCTTCTGACAGTCGAGGGGCAAGCTACCGGACACCACGAGGCTGTTGTAAAGGAAATGGTATTAATTCTATTTAATGAATTCTTGTAATTTATTTTATTTTATTGTTCCACCATGTTTTAAAAAGGTTGTTGTGTTATAGTTAATGGTTCTGGTGAAATAAAGCACACATATTACATTTAATCACTGTTTTCCCTTTTTTAAAGAAAAGTATCGAAAAAAGAAGTCGGAATTGCTTGACTTGGTAATCGGTATCGATAACCAAAATGGTTGGTATCGTGACAAATTACTCCTGACCACAGTTAAACCTGACTATTTAGTACGGTCGAGTTAAGGTATTGAATGCTGATAATTCTGACGTAATTTGGCCGGTCAAAGTTGTTTGGGCTCCGGGATAAAAATCGCTGCGTTAACTTTCGTTACTTTCGTCGCGTGTTACTTTCGTCCCGTGTTACTTTCGTCCCGACTCTCCCTATCTGTGTATGTTGTGGTGTCAGGTTGGTCAGTATGAGAGGATGACAAGCGCGTCTAATTTTGATGTCGGCCAAGAGCCAATCAACAATAATACCTGCGATGCAGTGAACCCATCCACCTTTGAGGGGGGGGGGATTCTAGTCGTTGATTAAACAAATATCCAGTGTTTCCCCTACCATTGTCCTGGAGGCTCCGTTGGGCCCCTCCAAGACAATGGTAGGAAAAACACTGGATAATTGTTTAATCAACGATAGAATTCCCCCGCCTCAAAGGTGATTGGTTCACGCATCGCAGGTATTATTGTGATTGGCTCTTGGGCCACATCCAAAATTAGACGCCGCTGTCATCCCTCCTCCATACTGACACCTGACACCACACATACACAGATAGGGAGAGTCGGGACGAAAGTAACACGGGACGAAAGTAACAACGGGAGAAAGAACGCAGCGTTTTTATCCGAGCCCAAACACTTTGACCGGCCCCAAATTACGTCAGAATTATCAGCATTCAATACTTAACAGACCTACTAAATATCAGGTTTTAACTGTGGTCCAGGAGTAAGCGTGTTGTCCCACGATACCAAATTTTGCGTTCGATACCGCGATACCAAGTCAGAAATTCCGATTCGTTTTTCGATAACTTTCTTAAAAAAAGGGAAACAGTGTTAAATGTAATTATTGTGCTTTATTTCACGACCAGAACGCAATAACTATAAGACACAACTTTTTTAAACAATGAGAACAATAAGTAAAATAAATTACAAGATTCATATTAAATAAAATTAATACATTTCTTATAAACAGGCCCGTGGGTCCGTAGGCTTGCCCCTCACTGGTCAGAGATTCGCATAAATGCATCACATTTCGCTTCCTGGCGCTTTTTTTGTCCAACAGCGAGAGCCCAGCGGCAGTTGCACTCCAACTTGCAGCCATGTTCTCGTTTCTCACATCTCTGGCAGCTAGTGGCGTGCCACGAGAGAGGGAGGGACTTAGAGCGTGCTTGAAGGGGAGGGACTGCAGGGCACGGCTGCAAGTGAAGGGATTGGAAGCGAGTGGCTGACAACACACGGCTCTTATTAAAACGGCGCCTTCTCACCGAATACTTCCCTCCGTCATTCTTAAAGTAATCGATACCAATGAAAATGGAGGATCGTAAACGCTTTTTAACCGGCAGGGTAATCGCGGTATACCTTCAAGTATCGGCTACACCGTGCAACACTAGTCAGGAGTAAGTTCTCTCCGCCCAAACTCACACATATAAATTCGATATGAATGAAGACCGCATGAAACTAGGCAAAGAGCCCGCATGCGGCTCGAGAGCCGCGGTTGGCCACCCCTGCCATAGACTAGTATATCAAGCGGCAAACTCTGGGGGAACAGCCGGGACGCCAATAAGGAAGTGGCAACACACTGCAGTTCATACATGGGCCGCTAGGGAACTGACTAGGCAGAAAGGAAGCAATTTCCATAGACCCCCATATTAAAATGCCAAACCATTACAGCGAGAAAAAACATGTTTCTAACCCCATGGATTGCAATAAAATATTATTATCGATTAGTTAGATTCCCACCTTCATGGATTAATGGGGGGAAATCGTGTGAGTGAATTGTTTTTTAACACGACCCTTTTATTTATATTAGGTCTTAAAGTTTTGCATAAATTAGGGCGTGGTCCACCTTTGATGGACATGTACATGCCTCACCTTTATACATACCATATACATTTTAGTTTATGATTCAGCCTGGGTAAGACTTTATAGTCTATGGCCTCTAGAGCCCATAACATGCAAACGGAGCATGTTAATAGGGGACCCAATTATCCCAGTGGTGCCGCCGAGCCTAACGGAGCCGCAGGGGCTAGCTCCAGCCGGCGCCCGGAGGCTAGCCACTGCGGCCCGTAGGTCCCAGGCGATGGAGTCCCGTCGTTATAACTGGAGATCAAGGAATGCAGCGCACCACATGTTCGCCTGCATGTAGTATTAGCTAAATAAATTATGTTGAACAAGGCTTTATTAAGCTGAACATCGCCACAATTGTTCTGCTATGTATCCGGTACTTCCTTTTCTTAACGTGTCCCAATGACAAGCACTCTAAAAATAACAAAAAATATAGCTAATTCTCTTCCGCAGATTGTGTCTCATCTTGATTATGAATGTAACGTTTATTAATAGGGCAGGGGTCTGCAAACCTTCTTTTCGACCAAAAAGAGCCATTTTGCTCTTTTTCCAAAACAATTCCTTTTTGTCCTGTAGCCGCAAAAACATACTTTCATAGCTTACATAGCTAATAAAGTTGCCATTTATCGTGTTATATCAGACAAAAACTACAGTTTTTTGCCATTATTAGGCTATTTATTACATTATATAAACCTGTTAAACCTCTAATAAGAAACAAATAACTCCTATAAGGAACTGCTACAGGATTTGATTTGTAGATTTGATTTGGGTTTGATCTGTATTTTTGAAAATTATGTAACTTTTTTATTTTAAGCATATTGTTTATTATATTATAACTTAGTACTTTTTTAGCATATTGTTTATTGTTTATTATATTATAACTTAGTACTTTTTAACGCATTTCAGATATGCAACACTAAGCTGTCTGTGGCTCTTTCCTGCTGTAACGCTGCAAATTTCCCCTCTGTGGGACTAATAAAGGGATTCTGATTCTGATAAGGAGAATTAAAAATAATACACAGGCCTACTTTAAAATAAATTAAACACAGCACTTGGGGAGTCCTCTGCACATTTGAAGGAAAAAAAAATATTATTAAAATTGGCCCACTTTGAAATAAATAAAACATATAGCTGCACCCTAAAAAGAGTTAAAGGTAGAGTAGGTAAGAATGGAGAAACCAGCTCGAGTGCGCGAGAGTTTGAAAATACACAACCGGAAAAAATATGCCTCTTCCTTCAGACTTTCTCACAGAGCCCCTCCTCCAACACACAGGAACGCGCACATGACCAATGAGGCCACGAGATAAATTTGTGCACAGATGGAAGGCTGACAGGCAGGTAGGCCATCCAGTTACTTTAGCCGGGCCGGCTAAAATGATTGGTCGTGCTTTTTACAGCGCTACGGCTTCCAGAGATTACATTTTTGTATGTATTTATTGTCAAAGCATTTAATATATTCATTGCTATCGGGACGTTAAGAGCATTCCATGGAATATAACAAAAAGTGTTTTCTGAAATAAATGACATACCCCATTGAATTATGACTGAAGATCGTCAGCTGTCTTCCTCTCCGTGTTGTTCCTCGATACGTAAAGGCTGCAGCACCTTTGACAACTTCTCTCTAGATATCAAACATACCGGTAAACCAGCATCGTTTGCTGTGAAAGCATATAACTCTGTCCACACAGAATTAAATCCTGTGTTCCTCCGGTACTTTTCTTTGATTTATCCATAGTTCGCTCATCGAGCCCAGGGGTCAGGTGAGCGCCTCCAAGAAAAGGCGCTCGCGCGGGACCGTAGCAGGATGTGACGCATATTTTAGTTGACCTAATTAAAACCGTTTTGTTTTTTATTTATGTGTCACAGTATCACCTCTAAATACAAGATACGAAACATTTTCAACCATGCAACAAAATATAAATAGTCCTACAAATACTTTTATTTTATTTCCTTCTTATTTTTGTCTAAGCTCAAGGGAGCCAGAGCAGAGAGTTTAAAGGGCCGCATGCGGCCCGTGGGCCGCGGGTTGCCAACCCCTGGCCTAGTCCAATCACGTCAGGCTCACCAGTGTAGAGCCGATGAAAGGGAGTCAGAGGCGGTGTGTTCAGTATGGAACTCCACACTTTATTATCCATTAGTATAAAGACAAGGGACGTACATCTGCTCGCTACTCATGTCAAGCTAGACTAACAACAACACCGGTGCACTCACTAACTCGTCCGTGGTGCAACACATACTATACGACCATGTATACGACTCAGTGAATTATGTCCCGTAACTGTCACCACAGCACTCAGTATACAGGACTGTCTCAGAAAATTAGAATATTGTGATAAAGTTCTTTATTTTCTGTAATGCAATTAAAAAAACAAAAATGTCATACATTCTGGATTCATTACAAATCAACTGAAATATTGCAAGCCTTNAAGACTGTGAGGGACTCAGAGTCACGGAGATCTTGGGGGAGGGAATTCCAGAGCCTAGGAGCTGCCACTGAGAAGGCTCTGTCCCCAAAGCTGCAGAGTGTGGACACTCTGCAGCTTTGGGGACAGAGCCTTCTCAGTGGCAGCTCCTAGGCTCTGGAATTCCCTCCCCCAAGATCTCCGTGACTCTGAGTCCCTCACAGTCTTTCAGTCCCGTCTCAAAACACATCTTTTCAACTCTGCCTACCCATAAGCCCCCCTCCTCTCAATCAATTTCCTCTTGACTGCTTTTTTATTTATTTTACTATACTTACTTGTTTGCCTGTCCTTGTTTGTCTACCCTCCCTCATATTGTAAAGCGTCTTTGAGTTGTGAAAAGCGCTATATAAATAAAATGCGTTATTATTATTATTATTATTATACGATTCAAGAACTTTGCAATGGATCCTTTATATCAATTGCATCGATTTATAGCATTTCTCTTAAATGAGTTATTCTAGTAATTGGTTACTATTGGGGATAAGAACACACTTTGTTCCCTCCCAAAAGGGATATTAGGGGTGTAACAGCAGCTAAAACAGGAATAAATATAGGTAAATAAAATAATAACAGGGATACCCAACTGATAAGAATAAAAGCAATAAAAAATAGGAGTTGTAAGCGAAGGTCACCTGTGGCGCACTTCATACCTCTCTCTTGGCTTTGCCCCTGAACATGTGGTCTGTGTGTGTGAAGGCTTGTTTCAGGGCAGTGACGGGGTCCCTCTGCAGGGTCTCCTGTCTACTCAGGGCCACATGGAGGTGCGTGGCAGCGTAGGTGGCAGCGTCCACCCCTCCATGGCCGTCAAACACAGCGTAGTAGGCACACTGCTCCCTGTCCTGGACACGGAACAGTGTGAACAATAGCATTTATAGCATACAGCTTTTTTTAAACAAACCCATGAAGAATATATTATTATTTTTTTGTATCTTGTACCTTGAAACCAAACAGCTGGTTGAACTCAGCCAGTGCCAGGTGTTTGTCCTCCATCTTCCTCCTTGTGTTCTTAATGGCATGGACAGAGCAGCGGAGGAAGCGGCGAGGGGGGGAGAGGGGCTCAGGGAGGTTTTGATGCCAGGCCAGTGCCACATTTATAAGCTTGTTGAGGAAAAGACGTTGGACTGCCTCCGACTGAAGCACTGAAGGGAAGACACAAATAAAATAAATCAATTAATCAGTCTTTAATACTTTTTCTCCATTGGAAATACAATACAATACATGACTAATGAATGTGTTTGGTTTTACATCATTAGTTTCTAGGAGCAGAGGACAGCCGTTTCCAGCTCCTAAAAAGCAGCCTGTCAGCGCCGACAGCAGAAAGACAGACAGTGACTAGCTAGCACTCAGTCTTAAGGAGCCAGAGTCTCTCCTCCAGAGCTGCTGGAGACCAAACCAGAACCAGAAGCAAGAACTCTATTTCTACAGTATTGCAATTAGCATAGGGTACATCAGGGTTATTCAATTAGAATGAGTATCGGGGGAGGATCAATTATGAAGTTAATATGACATGTCTCAGTGTGGTATTGAACACTTTTTTGCTGAGGAACTTGAATAAAAACGATTGTTTGAAGGAGGTGGTTTTCGCAACAACATAAATTAGACAGTTGAGAAAGAATTGACCATTTTAACTTCCTAATAAAAGAACAGCATGCAAACAATAATAAAGAAAAGTAGGATTGGGATTTATTACCATGGTATCAAGTTGGCAACAAGAATCGAGTGAAGAAATTCACTGGAGTTTTTGGGGGTATTGGGTAGGGCTATGCTAATACATCAGCTGCTGTTAGCCCTATTTAAAACCATCGGCTACAATTTCCACCCTGGTAGCGAGTGTTTTCAGGATCAATACATTAAATTAAACTATCAGAGTGTTCTCAACTCCTGATCAGTTCACTGGGAGAAGTTCTGCTGCTGATTCAGACTGTGTGGCAGCAGACCAGCCGTCAGAGCAAAATCCACACGGCCCCAGGGAGGGGTCTGTCTGAACATCTGACCTTGTGCATCAGATGTAAGTACTGTTTGAGTCGGGTGTTCACACAGTGAGCATGCAAACAAATCTTTACTCTAAACCAGGGGTCGACAACAGGCGGACCGCGGTCCGGATCCGGACCCGGACGCCGACCTATACGGACCCGGAGCTATAATCAATACATTAATAGGGGATTTTTCGGCACCGCTTTGTTAACGCTGACTTGGGTGACTTGTGTAATTCGTGGAGAACCGAAGAGTTTTCGTTTTGGGGGTGGGGAGTCAGTCCGACTGACGGAAAACTTCTTACTTCAAAAAAGAAGAAGAAATCTAGACCGCAAAAATAATTAAACAAGCGAGTACCTGTTTTTCCTGGCCAAGGACAAGTTCCATGAACACAACACGAGCGTAACGTGTCTTCACATGGTATATGTCTCGTCTGAAACGAGTAACGGAGAGCACCGGAACGCCGCTCCACCCCTTCAAATATTGCAGTACCCATAAGCAGCCGTACACATGCCGCAGTGTTTGCGTGGCTGTGTCTTTAGTCCTAAGCACAGTGGCGATCTGTTGTTATTAGCATCTGGTTAGCTGGCTATGCTAACGAATTTAAAGAGCTTTTCTACAACCAGGTGGAAGAGAGCTCTCTCCTGAGAGGCTCAAATAACCTCAGCTCAGTGAGGTTAAAGGGGACCTATCATCAGGGCTGCACATAACTGGTGCGCAGATGCGCATGCGCACCTCCGCCAAAAAAAGAGCACTGGGTCATTTGAAAAAAGGCGCATTTGCGT